TTACTGTATCTGAACTCTCTTGCTCTCACCAGCCGTGTGTTGTGGTTACAGTCGTCAAAATGCAGAACAATGGACTGTTAGAGAGCAGAGGAGATGTGGATAGAGGAATAACGGGTTAAAGGCATTACCTCGGACTCTAGCCCTCTCATGTGTCTTAAATCCACAGGTCCTGACAGTATCACCTCTGACCCATTACCTAGTTCTGAATCCCTAACTTCTGACCCAACTGGCTTTTATAACAATGAAAGAAAACACACACACACACACACACACACACACACACTTCACTAAATCATCACACAAGCTCATTACACATAAAAAGTAAAATATATTGTTAAAATACATCATAAAGTAGTGTGTGTGTGTTATGATAAACCAGTTTAGCTTCTTTATCATATTTACAATGATTATCGAAACATGCAATCCCATTACATATATTATACTGTAGTATATGTAAATATAACACAAATCCATTAATATATGATTAAACATTTACCACCAGAGCTTGAATAAAAAAAGACAACAAAAAAGTTTTTTCAGCGTTATCTTCCATTAAAATATATTTATTTTGATTTATTTCTTTATAAATGATTAATTTTTATCTAAAACCAGTAGGAAAACTGTATCAGTATTGGCATGGTAAATAATAAACACACAGACGAACCTACATAAATGAATCACAGAGCTGGTGAGCTTTTGCGTTTTTGCAAACAATGTCGCCATCTACAGGACAACATAATTACGGTACAGACACTTTCTTAAGGTCCTTCGGTTCTTGCTACTTTTTTCGGCCCCTATTCTTTGCAAAATTTGACAAAGAGTGTCTCATAAAGTATGATATTTAAAAAACATATCAGAGACCCTATACCAGTGAAACTTTGATTGCTTATATTCAGGACACTCAAAAAATGTAGTTCATATGCTTGTCCCATTTAATCAAAGGATATCCTAGATATTTTAGATATATATAATGGGACTATTCCTGGTAAAAACGTATGTATACCCTGAAATAGTGATCTATAATTAATTTACTATCTACCTTGGGTGGTGACGATTTTATTCAAGTCCAAAGCTTTTATTCAATTACTGTATGAAGTTCTCAAACTCCAACTAAATGACTTTCAAAAATCTACACATATAAAATCGATTCCATTCAATTCACTTCAAGGTGAGCTCTTTTTATACCTCTGTTCCACTGATTCTTTAAGCCCACACATTTTAAACAGCAGCTTAAAATGACACAAAAGACAACAAAATCAAAGCAACACTGTAATGAAAGTGCTGCAGAGCATTTTGACACTTTCTAAACATACGTGTGCATGATTTTTTTTTTTTTAAATGTCCTCTTCAGAATGACACAGCACTGACACTTTTTAATTAAAATATTTCAATAAATAAACAGCTTGGAGTGCCACGCAGAAATGCTTGAGTTCCCACCTGTTCCGTACTTTGAAAAACAATCATTTTCAAAAGTTTTGAAAGTGCTGAATGAGTGCTGAATGAGACAAAATATTTGGAATTCTAATAGATATTTTAATACTTATAAATATTAAATACAGAAAGAACGAAAGAGTACTAGATAGAAATGCAGGTGCAGGTCAGTGTGTGACAGAACTCACCACATCTCCATGTCTCGTGTCCTTCCCTGAAGCAATGAGAACGTAGTTCCAGGCCAGCAGCATCAGGAGAACCAGCGGGACCATATAGAGCTCAAAATTCCACACAACCACAACGAAAAGCTACAGAAAGAGAGAAAACGAATGAACAAACAAAAGGTAAGGACATCGTTCTGAAGATGAATTTATAAAACACACATTAAAACACATCAACAATCATTTGACTGGGTTCTAAACTGTCAGTTTTTCAAAAACTAAAATTAGAAAGCTCAAAAAGACCAACATTTGTCATTTATTGTAACTTTTTATATTTTTTTGGAAACTGTTCTAATCTCTCAATTTAATTTCTTCATATCTAAATTCGTTTTTTATTGGATACCTTCAGAACACCTGACAACCAGTAATACATAACAGTAACACAATGATTATTTTTCACAGTCTGTCATGTGTGAGCACAGATGATGCTTTTAAAGTCTTTCAGTGTGAAAACACAATGAATGAGTCCAATCATCTGCAACAAAATCTCATTCTCCTTAAATAACATTATAAGGGCTCAAAACATAAAGCAAAAAGCATGTTTCTGGTCTTACTCTATAGTAAATGTGACCCTACTGCCCATCACCCCACGGCTTGAACTAAATGTTCACATACTCCATAAAAAGGATAAAACACGGTGTAGCAATTTGATACTTTTGTTTTTTAGCTTTATTTACTGAAAAAAAAATATATATATAGTTCTTTTAACATTTTCCCCCAAAAAAACAACAACTTTGAAACTAATTACTATGAGCACTAACTTTATATACTGCAATCTACCTCATATGAAACTTCACATTTTTGAAAGAGCTGTAAAATACAATGAGTAGAGCCAAAAATATTTTCTAGTAAAGCCATTAATCCAAACTAAATTTTAAAAAGTAAAACGAATAAATGCATAAAACCAAAATTAAAAATCTCCACCTTTCGATTGTTTCTGTGAGACATATTTAGAGCTAAGCAAAAATCACAGCCATGGCAATATTATTCACAGATAATAAAAATGAATCTGCCAGATTGAGAAGGCTGATGAGCGTTAAGAGTTTACACTAATAAATGTTAATGTTAACCCAACTGAATACAAAAAGATCAAACGTGATATTCAGTGTAAGTATTCAGGTTTGTAAAATAAATCAAGTATTCTTATACAGTATATGAAATGTACTTAAGCCATGCATCCACAGAGAGGCTATTATACATAAACGCACACCACAAAGACCTCGTTACATTTGAAAAGTTTACATAGCATTAAATCGGACTGGACCGGACATGCCCACAAACACACATGCAGAGCAGTGGAAAATCTCAGAATCATGCAGAAACAGGTCAGATGTATTTCCGTGCCCTTCACACTATCCATTACAGCACTGTTACCCAATGCGCACACACTCAACATTTCAACGAGGGGGACACGGGGCACAAATTAGGCACCTCTAACGTGCATAATATACGTACTATCAACACTGGTTCAAATGTTATCTTTAAATGACCTCTCTCACAATTTTAATATTAAAGCTTCAAATATACTTTAAAGAAATGAATACAAATAAGCTACATTGAAATAAAGCAGAAAACAATGGATCAATACAATTACAAATGTAAATGGTGCACTTAATATGCAATAAAGGAAGTAATCTGAGAATTTGCATATAGCAAAATATGTAATATGCACAAGCTGCTTACAGAAAAACACTGCCCAGTAAAAAAATTAATACAATTCTGTAACATTTGGTATTCTAGTAATAAAATGTACTAGTTCTAGTAATTCTAGTTACAGTAATACTCCTAGCAAACACATTTCTTGCAAAATTCAGCAAAACATCTGTAGCTTGTCCCATTAATTAGAGCAAAATATATTTTTCAGACAAAGTAATTAGAATGTCATCACTTTGAATTAATATCTTCCATATGTGCATTCATAAAATCATAATGACTTAATTTAGTATTAAAAATATTTAAAATATAACAGATCAGCCTTCAACAAACTGACAGATTTCGTTTTCTATCTTTCAGCCCCTGACTCAATTAATTACAAAATACACTCATTGGAATTTAAAATCACGCCAAGGGAGTCATTTGTGAATCTATCGCTCACAAAGAAAATCCATTTCTTTGTCTCTACTCCGCAGCGTCCATTTGTTTTCATATGCCTATAGTGGTTCCTTAACCTGTCGCTGGACTCCATTCTTAAGTTTGGTTATTCTAGCTGAGGGCCAGAGTCTGATTGATAGCTGATGTTAGCCGACACTTCGCCTGCTTGGAAGTGACCCTTCTCTCTTTCACACAACCCAGCGGCCAAGAGAGAGATGCCCAGAGCTCTGGGGCCATTCTTCCAGCCTAGACACTCATATCACCCACGGTCCCCCCCAGAGAGAGCTCTCCTCAGGGAGGGAACGGCCACCGACCCCAAACTGAAAGGGAAAGAAAAAGGTTCGGATGATAGAGAGGAAAAGGAGAAACCGAATCTGCGAACACGCGACAAGAGGCTTTGTCAGAGCACATCCAGGTATTCACAGACAGTTCGCCAGCTTTGTCGGCCATTCCGGAGCCACGGCGTTCAGTTTCCTGTACTTCAGAGCCGCAGTGTTCCACTCAGGGCATGTACTGTAACCTCTCCACCTGCATGGATTCCGTCTTACAATGACAATGAATGACCAACAGTAACCTAATACAGAGCATGACATCTATTCATTAAACGGCATCTGAAATGTAATTTCCTGTCAGTCCATTAATCTACAAAAAGCACCAAAAGAAATCCACAAATCACTATTGCTGTTACCATCAATATCTATTATAGTTCAACTTTGGTTCAGTGCAATATAACAGGGCAACAAGGATTCTTGTCCAAGACAAGGACATCACAAAGATGTCTTTTTTTATTCAAGTAGAAGAAAATGCTTATATCTATTGCTTACATTTTTTTTTTTCTAAAATTAGGGTATGTTAGAATAAAAAATGAGTTTTATGTATGAAATTAATAGAAAAGAAGTGAATCTGAAGCATGATGAAAGAATGCCTACACAGTGTGCGTTTTGTTTCACTTCCCTAATGAATTTGACTAAGCGGAATATCAAACAACTAAGTGATATTAGCATTTTCATACACACTACATCCATCTCTAACATCAAGTAGAATGTAAATTTGATTTCATTTTAAATATCTATTTGATTTTATCCAAGCGAAAGCACTTGAGATTAAGTCCCTTAACAAAAGCCGTTGCTCTAACCGGGAGAACGATCTGGATCGGCCAAGTGTTTCAGCATCTCGCTGGATTTTTGGAATGGAGGACGGACACATTTTGGCAGCCAATTTCAATATCGTTTTGGCACTTTGTGTTGTGGAGTGCAGGCTTGAGCACTTCAGAGCAGGCATTTGAGAATTAGCACATTAAAAGTGTGTTACCAACACAGCCTACAACAGCCTCTGTACTTGGACTTCAGAAATGAAGTCATCACATTGTGTTGATTATTTTAAATAGTGCCAACGGTGGGTAGAAATACGCAGAATGAGAGGCTGATTATGGACGTCAATAACTCATCTGCTTTTTGGCTGGACTCGTTAGGTGTGGATGTTTGGATTGAGTGATGCCGCACTGCCATCTTCTGGCATGTCGTGAAATGCTTTCGTTCGTTGTTTTTCAGACTCAGTGTGATTTGATCTAAATCTAATTAGAAAGTTCTTGAAAAAGAGCATTCCTAAAACATGTGCTCAAACAGGAAATCTTCACTATTGACTAGTGATTAAAAACACGATTTCTGTAGAACAGTTCATGTCAGCTCTCAAAATGTTTAGCTTAAACATCTTAAGGTCTAACAACAAAATCTGTGGTATTTCATTTATAGATCATAATAATTAAAATAAAAAAAATAAAATGAATTTTCAGAAGAAAATAATATCATAATTTCATCATTAAAAAAGACACAATAACATAAATCCACATGCAACAAAAATCTGGGGTCCTATGGGGTACACTGCTCCATAGAAGCCGAAACACTATTTTATTTTATTATTTTATTTTATTTTTTTATGTGTTTTTTATTTTATTTTATTTTTTTATATTTAAAAATATTTGTTAATATAAAAGTTATATTTTTATTGAGTTTACTGAGTTGAAGTTATATTTTTGAGTTTTACTGAGTTTAAATTAATTTCGGGTGTTATATTAACAGATTAAGCTGAATTCAATATATACGATTTTTCCTAATTTGTCCCATAAAATAAATAAATAAATAAAACATTCTCGGAGCCGTTGGCTGACAGGTGACATGGAGCAGAAAGGTGCCACCTTGTAGCACACCGCGGGTTGTAATCGTGAAGACAAACACCGAAGCATTTGTTTCTCTTTTCCTGTCTCTTTTTTTTGGGGCGGGGGTATTTT